CTGAGCCTTTAGAAGGAAAGCCAACCGTTAAGAGAGACAGAGAGTCCTAGTCTGTTGGACTCTGGTTTTGATTGTATAATAATGATGATATAATGCTAATGACGATGATGACACTGCCTTTTATTTTTACCTCAGTGCTGAGAAAGCGTAGCTACCGCTGGGGAAAAGCCCTTGAAAATCTGATGTGCGAGGAGGGAATATTGTTGCTTTCACAGTTGTGTTTTATGGGAAGGATATGCTTTTTAGAATGATAATTGGGCAAAATAAAACTTAACTGGCCCCCCTCCCCCTTCCCCAGCCCACCTCCCGGAGTCAGTTACAGCCAATCCTCATAAAACCGGGACTGGCTACCGTCTTAACTACGGAAAATGTCAAGACTTTTACCCAGGTACAATGCCATGTGTTAAGTCACTCTTCCCCCCCCCCCCCCAATTGCATTTCTCAACAGTTTTTTAAAATGAAGAAGTTTAATTTCCGAAAAGTTTTGGATGGCTTAACTGCCTCCTCCCCTGGCAGTGGTAGCAGCAGTGGCAGTAACAGTGGCGGTGGGGCTGGAAGCGGTTCCGTGCACCCTGGAGGGACTGCAGGGGTTCTCAGAGAGGAGATTCAGGAAACCCTGACTTCAGAGTATTTCCAGATTTGCAAGGTAAGTTGTGAATTGGCACAAAGCTTCCAATCGCCTTATTTAACTGGAGGTGAGAAAGCAAGAAAAACACGCAGACTGCTCATTGTTGAGATGTCAGAATCAATGAGATTCTGGTGTGGAGAACCCTGTGGCGATGGTCTATTTGAATTAATTAAGGTATTTCAGGCATCAATTTCAGCAAGAACTTCAAACGCAGAAATGGTAGCTTAAGGCAGAAATCAGCAAACATGAAAACTAGAATTTATAAGATAATGTTAAGGACCATTAGTGGACCAGTAGTTTTAATGTAATATATATATGTAGTAAACTGAACGAGAAACGATTCATTCTGATAAATCGTGGGTTGTCAATCAGAAAATAATTATTTTGTTTTACTCTTCAGTATTAAATGATTAATGGTATTAAGATGTAAGAAGTAAATAACAGCTAGATGAATAAATTGATTTTAAATTCTAATTTTTAAAGACCCAGATTCTTAAACTATCCATAAATAAATAACACCATTGACTTAATACTTGGAAGAACTGTAATACTTGTAAAAACTCAAAAATAGCCAGATTTCTCCTTTAGTGAGAAAACATTTTAGGAAATTGTACTTGGATGTTGAACTTTTAACGAATAAGCAAATTAACAAGGATTATATTAATGTATAGAGACATGTATTTTATATAAAGCAATTTATAATTTTTACAATCTTTTGGGGGGGATAGCTTAGGAATGTGCTTTTGACCTGCTATGTATAATAAACAAAGCAACTCAATCGTTCATGATACAAATTTTATAATTGTATTTACGGTGTCTCCCTCCATACACAAGAAATAATTAACTTTTGACTACATAGAAATGAAGTACAAAGTCTTTTGATACTTCAACAAAAGAAAATTTTATTTTTTGAAATTATTGAAAATTAACTTTTATAATAAATAAATGCTATATAATGAGATAAGTTTCAATAATTGCATTCCTCTTCATTCTCACTAGATTTATTATTTTTAAAAGCATTATATATGTTGTTATTAAATATCACAAATTGCATAAAAGCAAGTTTTCTTAGATTAGGAAAAATAGATTTAATTCTGACATCATGTTGTTTTTGTTAACTGCCATTGAGTCGGTCCTGACTCATAGTGACCCTGTATAGGGTTTCCCAGGAGCGCTGGTGAATTTGAACCACTGACCTTGTGCTTCAAACCGACCTTGCAGTCCTGTGCTTTAGCCCACAGCACCACAGGGCTCCAATTCTAATATACCTTGTGATAATTATATATAGTAATCATTTTGTCCTCAATATGAAATATTCTGTCAGATCAGGGAAGGGTTTAGTAGTGGTTATGAGACAAATGTGTAAAGGGTTCTAGAAGTCAGATTGAGCTGCGAGGCAGGGGAATTATCTCTTGATTCTTTTTGACATACTGCTATTTTAATTTCCCAGATTCTAGGGGTAGGGGGAGCCAAGTTACCGTAATTGATAAGATAGTGATGCAGGAGAGTTGCATTGAGGTTACAAAGCTGCTACTGATTCAAAATGGCATTGGGCTGCTAGGTTATAAAGCTGATAGAGAAGGTGGTAAATGGCAATGAGGAAATCAGGAGAATGGGTGAATATGAGAAGAAAATGGAATATATAGTCATTTATTTCAGAGAAGAGATGATCATAGGTAGTGGTAAAAGTAAAATAGGGCACAACTTCAAAAACATAGAGCATGGTAGGAAGAGTGGTTCATTGTAGTTGTGTGCTGTTGAGTTGGTTCCAACTCATAGTAATGTTGTATAGAATTTCTGAGGCTGTAAATCTTTATGGGAAAAGAAAACCTCAGCTTTCTCCCACACAGTGGCTGGTAGATCTGAACTGATGATTTTGTGGTTAGTAGCCCAACTTGTAACCCATTCACACTACTTGCCAGTCATACACTCTTTGACAAGCCATTTATCTCCTCCCTTGAGCTTTGAATTCTTCATCTGAAGTATGGGAGTAAGTATTTTTGTATCATTTGGGGAAGATCAGACAAAATATTACGTGAAGGCAATGCATAAACTGGAAAGGAGGCTAATATATAGATTTACTTTATGGTTTTAATCTTTAAAATCACCTTATTCTTGGGGAATGATCATTGTCAGTGGATTGTATAACAATTAGACAATAATTTTAAAAGAAATTTTAAGGATCGACAACACAGTAATGGTACTGAGATTTTACCAAATGGATAAAGTACCATGGCATCTTTAGATAGGGATCTTACACTGGAATTATAGACGGGATTATTTGGCTGTATTTTAAGTTACCCGAACTAGAATAAAATTTATAAAAATGAATTAAGGAAATTCCCAAATTAGAACTGTTATTGAAGTGAGACTTTATTTAGACTCACTCATTAAATGTGCAAAGAACATTCTATTCTGAGTACTAAGGAGTTGGCACCTGGTTACGTCTACCTTTTTAATATGGTCAGAATTAAAGTATAAATCGAAACTCTGCTCTTAACCACACTCCACTCCATGATCTAGCTGATCAATCATCAAATCCTATCTATTCTAACTCCTTAGTATTTCTGAAATTTCTTCCTTTTCTCTACTACTACTGCTGATTTATTTCCTCATAGTTTCTTGCTTAGTCTCTTAAAATCACTTTGTAACAAATTTCTTACCTCTTGTTTTACCTATCCCAATTTCTTTTATTGTAATAAGGGTTATTTTTGAAATTTGAGTAACATGTTAATTTTACCATTCCCCCACTAAAATTTTTACATTGGTTTCCTTAAAGTACTGATGCTCTACAGACAAAAACTTAGGTGAAACCCCAATAAATAATACCTACTCAAACCAATAAATGTGGTAATTTATTGCGATACCTTTGTTTTATAAGCTATAATAAACTATATAGCCAATCATTTAAAACTTACTTAATATTTGGTTTTAGTTGTTTAATATTATCCAAGACAAATAGTAGTATCACACACAAAAAATTCATAGCATTTTCTATTTTAGTAGCATTTTCTAGCATTAAATAAAAGAAGTATAAAGTTAAGCCCTTCATAATTAGGGACACATCTACAAGAAATTTTTAAAACACAGAAATGGCAGAAGCAGCTTTGGTTGAAGTTCAGCAAAAAACAAGCTAATGCCTTGGTTTATTGTTAATCTGTTTAAGTTCAGTATGTATGTACTTGAATGCTAATGTTTCTCAGATATTTATTAAATATATAAACTGCCTTTCCTGGACATAAATTTTATGGAACACTGTTTGAAACCACTGTTCTGTTGAAAAACTTCAAACTGTTTCGTTTGATTGATTTATAGTTCTCTTCTGAAGGGATTCCTGTTACCTTTCCATCCTTGTTCCCTTGATTCCTCAGGCATACTGCATTCCCTGAAAGCATTGTGTTTTCTTGTATTTTAGTGTCTTTTCATATGCTATTATTGCCTCTGACTGAATATCTCTTATGACTCAAATCTGATTAGAGAACTTCCAGTTGCCCTTTACTTCACAGTTCAAACACCACCTCCTCCAAGAGATCAGCTCTGAACGCAGATCACAATGCCTTTCTCACTTAACCCCATTCTGCTTCTTCCCGCAGGCCCAGCAGTGTTAAGATTTCCCCCCACACTTCTCTGCTTTCCTTAGCATTTGGCTTATATCTATAGTGTAAAATTAGAGCCTTCTTGTGATTAAACAGTTTTTATCTGTCACTTATGAGCTCTTTGAGAAGCAAGTATGTTCTTGTCCATTTGTTTTCTTATCTTTATTAATGAAGACTCACTATCTAGCAGACCAGTGATTCTTAACTGGCTGTCTGAGAGATTTCCAGACCTATCTCAGTCTTGTTGAGTTGATTCCAACTTATGGTTACCCTGTGTGTGTAGAGTAGAACTACTACATAAGGTTTGCATGGCTGTGACCTTTTGGAATCGGATCACCAAGTCTGTCTTCCAGGGTATCTCTGGATGGGTTTGAATTGTCAACCTTTTGGCAAGTAGTGGAAAGATTAACTGTTTGTACCACCTAGGGAATTCTGTCTCAGTCTTAGAGAACTAAAATCTAGGGATGGGGACGAGGTACTTGCATTTTTAAAAAAGTTCTGTAGGAGATTCTGATCCCAGTCAGTATTGAAAACTTTTAAGCACCGGATATTTACTTTTTAATGATTGAAGTAGCTTATACATAACTAGTTGATTAATTGAAAAGAGTTTAAATACAGAAGAAAGTCATTGATCATAATTCATTCTTTAAGCTTTTTATTTGAACTGAACGTATCAATATATATACATCAATATACATCAGTTTACAAATCGCTTGGTATATGACACAGTTTTTTGTTTTTTATTAATAGAATATTGGTTCTCTGATTGGATTTCGTTGTGGACTTTTCTTCCACAATTCATCTAAGTCCAGTGCTGCTGAACCAATTCTGACTCATAGTGATGCTACAGACAGAGTAGAACTACCTGATAGGATTTCCAAGACTGTAAATCTTCAAGGAAGCAGACTGCCACATCTTTCTCCTGCATAGTGGCTGGTGGGTTTGAACTGCTGACCTTTCAGTTAACAGCTGAATGCTTAACTGTTCCTTCACCAGGGATCCCCAAAATCATCCCAAACACATACATATTTTTATTTAATAATGTTGTTGTTGTTAAGTGCTGTTGAGTCGGTTTTGACTCTCAGCGACACAGTATAGGGTTTCCAAGGAGCACCTAGTGGGTTTGAACTGCCAACACTGTGATTATCCTACAGTGCCACACCTATACACATTTATATTTAATTGACCCATAGCTAATTAAAATGGGATCAGGAGAGTTGATATTCTAGCTAACTAGAGAACAATCTATAACTTAAAGCATTTAATGTGCGGTAAATATCACTACATATGCTTTACAAAGATAATGACATTTTTGTTAATCTAACAGACCACTTAAAACTTGTTTAGCTTATCTGTAAACTATCTCATCTGACCATCATAACAGTCTTGTGTGGAAGGCAGGGAAAATACTAATATTTTTGT